CAGCTTCCTTATGAAGAAAAGGAAAAACACGTCTTTGGCCATTCGTCTTTTGATCTTTAAAGAAGCCGAAAAATAATTCATATTATGTAATCGCTTCCAAATTTGTAACGACAAAAATTATTTGTTGACATAGTAGTAATGAAGTAGAAGGATTTTAAAAATGTCCACGATCTTCCATGATCTGAAGCTTTAAAAGAATTAACTCAACATCAAGACTCTTTATTCCGAAAAAAGTTGGTTGATGACCCAAACAAGAGTGCCATAAGCAAGATGGCCCGAACTTGGATGTTACTATATGACTAACGCTACTATAAGAGTAAAAAATGGATATAAATAGTAAATTATAATAGAATTACAAAATGTTAGATAAGTTTAAGAAATATTTTTTTTTAAATATGAAATCGCGCAAGAGCAAGAAAAAAAAATCATATTCATTTCAGTATAAGAAACTTGGAGCAGCCGATATGATCTTACTTTCTCGATCAGCTGTAAAATGCACCTAGTCTAGGTAACATCCACATTTTGCTGTGAATAAAACGCTCACTGAGAAAAAAAGTATTAACGGAACTATAAGAATATGGTGAAATATACCGGCACTGTAGAAATACCAAAAAGCCAGTAGTTTTTACCGAAGCTCTTTGGGCATGACTGATGTCTAAATTAACAATAAAACGTGTTTTTATTACCCTGCTTTTTGGTAATAAATGTATTAAAATTTTATTATTTTATCACGATACATAACTTCATGGCATAAAATTTATTTTATTTGCTAAGTCTTCTTATCAGTTTTTTTTCTTTTTTTACTAAATGTGTGGTAATAGTGTATCAATAAAAAAAAAACAGAAATTTCGGTAAACCGTTTTCATACGAACGTAAAATTACCAAATAATTAGTTTAAAAACAGGCTCGGTTTTTGTATAATTAATACATATAATTTGACACATAATTAGTATTTTTTTTAAAAAAATTACCAGAAATGTTATTACCACACAAGTATGGTAATTTTAATTAAATTTTTTTTCTCCGCATACAAATACTGTAAATGTTCTCAATCTCTTAGAGATATCATAACTGTACATACGTAGGCTGACCAGCGTCCTCCCAAAACTGAAAAATAACTGGTAGCAAAATTTCTAAACGAACAATCAAAAACTCCCCTCTATAAATATTACCTTTCATTTTAAAAAATAGTAGTGCTAATAAATTCGTGTGAAATATTTATGTTCTTAGAATATTAAATTTTAAAAGTAATTTTAAAGTTTTCAAGCATCAGTTTAGTAATTTTGATACCAGCTTTTTAGTTTTGTGAGGAGGCTGTTCAGCTTAACATACGGAAGTCTTAGCATTAGATCTTATAACGAATTATTCTACAGGATGTCGAAGAATAACTTGGAAAAATATTACTCACAGTTTTAAAACCTATTAAAATATTACAATTAAATTTTCGAAGAAAAAGAACAAAACCATATTACATTTAAAATATTCATACTGACAACTTAGAATCTTAATTCAGGGTCGTAAGTGATTCACGAAATTTTCTGTCTTGTGCTACAACTATTGCACTCATAGTTTGTACTATTCCTCGCCACAAGGTTTTTTAATCTATATGAAAGTCTGATAATGTTCAGCCCAAATCGTTTCCTCCAAAATTAACAACAACAAAAAAAAGAGTCCATTCTACTCAAGTTTGAATAATATGGCAGTTGTTGAGCCATTAAAAAGCCTAGAAAATGTGCCTTTCACCATTCGTGAGAGCCTTTTGCTCTGTGTGCCGGAGCAGAATCATGATTGAAGTATCCTTCTCCTCCCCAAAAAACTGTTTGCTTTGTGACCACAGAAGCACAGAATTGTTCGAAAAGATGTTTTGATATGCTGCTATTGAAAATATTTGATATTATATTTTGTCAAAGTTATTTCTCGTCACCCTCATCCCACTTTTCTAGAATTCGAAGTTATGTTTTGCGATCAACGCACACACACCCCACTCATATATAGTTTATATCATGAAGGAGCCAATTGTAGTCGATTTTTTATGTTTTTACCCACCTATGTTTTTTAACAGTTAAAATTAAAATTCCGAGAGTAAAAAACGAAACTAATATGAACTATTACTGTAATTATATTTTTAGAACTAATTTTCTTAGTTTCTTTTTAATTTTCCCATTCTGTTAGACATTTTTAAGCTTTATTGGCAGATGATGTCATTGAAATTTGCCACAACATGAAAATTAAGCAAAATTTAGCTATATCATCACATTGACTTGATTAAACGATAATATGCTTCAAATTCGAAAGTATGGTTCCGTTTAAAACCGTTCTTAGGTTGATCAAATTTACATCTCGTTACATTCCAAGAATCAAAATATCGTATTTATAGCCAATGTATAAAATGAGTTACTCAAATATAAAATGCATATCCTAAAATTTTACATAATAAACCTGTGTCAGACTGCCATGAAAAATTCTAGGATGTCACAACTCATGGCACGCGGTTGTCACAACTTAGATAAGTTTCAGAACCTCTACTGTGCAAATATGCCCTTTTGAAAAAAATATTTTCTAGTGCTGGGAAAAGTCTAAGTTATTTTTAGTTTAATAAATTTGATTTAATTTGTAAGCATAACATATCAAACATTCAAAGCCTGTTATAAAATGCACTTTTGCTGTAGTCATCTCGTGGTGAGTCTTAACGATTATGCGAAAATTGCAATTATTCTGAAAGTTTATTTTTTAAAATCACGAACAATATATGAAAACTTTTCCAGAAAGTGATGCAGTTGGCATCCTTGATTGTACAATATTTAAGGAAGGAGTGTCTCGTCAAATGGTTTTCGTAAACATTTACTCATATAATCAGCTTTTTTATTTACAACGATTGTTTATGCCCATTTCACATGAATGAAAAAATAAACATTGGATATAAATGTTGTTGACGTATGTCTGTTTAGGCAGAGGGGGTGCGATTGTTCTTGTTTTGCAGTGGCGCCATCTATGGCCAAGAATTTGACTTCTGCTACACCTTACGTCACACCCGTTTATAGGACGAACCCATTCATACATCCATTCATTCATCCACAGATCGTAATTTTGACCTGAATCAGAGAACATGGAAGACTTTTGCGACTCGACAGATTTAACGTGCATCAGTCACTTTACTGCGCTGGAAGTCTTTGGCCGGCGGGGTTCAAACCCACGAACTCTCGGACATGGGCTCAGCACCCTACCGACCAGGCTATCCCGGCCCCGGATATAAAATGTAAAATGTAATAGTGATTATAATGATTTTCCATTTCACTGTCCAAAAGTTGTTGTGACCCTTTACTGAGCAATCCAGACATTCTCAAATACATTTATTCTATCGATATTCGTTATATTTTCATATATTTTCTATTCAAAAGAAGAGGGTTTGCAAATTTCATTAAACTAACTACGCTAAAATAATTATGATTAGTTTGTATTTATTTATTTTTATTCTTTCGGGGAAAAAAATGCAAAATTTGGCAAGCAGAACAAAAGTTTTATTTAAGAGTAAACTTGAGATGTCTGATTAACAATTTTTCTCCGTCAATAATTAGAAATTAGCTGTTAATCCGATTTAGCTCTTACTTTTTTCTTCATAGTTTCTACGTTCATTATTACTAAAAATATCTTTGATAAGTCAGTTATGGTTAGATCTTGCAGGACTTTAATCACCAGTTAATGAAAATTCTCCTGATAAGTAGTTATTCTCAAAAAGAAAGATAATTCGTTAACTAATGATTGCTTCATTTAAATCATCGCATAATTTAGATGGCTGGGGGTGTTTGTGTTGAATAAATTTGTAAATTGATTGATATAAGATGCAAATAAAATAATAATTTTGAGCAAACTATCTTACTAAACTTAGCTAACAAAACTATATGAAAGAACAAAAGTTCATGACATAAAAAAACTATATAAAACTAAATAAATGAAAACTCGAAATAAGAAGTAATAAATGAAAGAATGAAAGAAATCAAATTTCATCTACAAGAAATCTCAAATCCAAACGTATATTACTCGTGTTTTTTCTTCAAAAAGGTGGAGATAGATAGTATCAGTGCCGAGTATAGTCCTTCAGAAATTTTTTATAAATTACAGTATCATTGAAGTATTGAAAGTGAAAAGTTTTCTTTATTATTAAACTTTGATGTTTGCAATTTTAAACTTACCTATGGAGTGAAACTCTTGTTTTATACATAAATTGCAAAATTGTTTTTAGTTATTTTGTGTGACTGATTATCCACAGGTTGTTTCGAAATTTTACTCAGAAGTAATTTCAATGGAAAAAGAAATTTTTAAATTAAAAATTGTGTTTTTTTATTGATTCAAAAAGTATACAGTATAGCTTTGTGTATGGAATAAAAATGGTGAATGGCCCCAATTGGTTCATTCTGAGTTATGCACTCTCTTATCTCTATTTTAACTAACTCTTTTGCATTAATGTTGTTGAATTTTGACACAGAGAGCGCTGAGAAAAATAATACTCAAAATAAAAAAAAGTCCTATAGCGTAAAATTTCTTGATCTGAGTGGCAATACGATACGGACAGTCTCACAATCAGGGAATTTTATAGTTTTGTTCAAAATATTTCTGAACAATCTAAATGTTACTTACCTATTCATTATTAATAACTTTGAACTGTTCGATGCATTTTTTCCCGTGGAAGCATTTTAATGAACAAATGGCGTAAAACTCAAATCTCGCACCAATTTCGAAGTGATCTTTTTAATTTTATTAAATCACGTGGGAAAAATAGAATTAGCAACTTATCTTTTTGTGATGATTAAGCATATGGTTGTGAAAAAAGGCATAGGCAATAAAAATAATGAAATAAGAAAATTAATTTTAAATCAAACGTCATAAACTGAAATATCGTTAAAATCTGCAGAATTTATGGTTTAACTGGTCTGAGATCATACAGTAGTAAATATTTAATGCCAAAATATTATTAAAAAGATACATTAAAAGCCATTACGTACTTCATTATCATTGACGAACCATTGTAGTTGCGCAGGTTCCGATGATCTCGCTGACGAGCAATTCACATCAACTGTGTCACCCACGTAATACCGAGGATTGCTTCCTGTAATACTTGGACCATCTAGACCGGGAGGAACGTGAGGAACTATTAAAAAAATTTACAAAAATTTCATTATAATTTCGTGAATATTATAACAGAAAATTTTACAATGTGTTCAATCACACGAAAGGATCAGCTAATGAATTTTTTTAAACGATATTAAGAAGTTTTTCTATTTGAAAGAAAGGAAAAACTCCATAAATGGTTAAACTTTGCAAGTGGGTATTGAGAAATTATTTTTTAAACAATCATGGATGCATATAAGATTAATATACAGGAGTTCTCGCTTACTTTCTGAACATCATAAACATCAAAATTAAAGAAAAATTATCATCTTTTAGGAGAAATGTTTGCTGTCTCTTAAAACTCCTACAAAGCTCCCGATTTCTTTTCACATTTTTCCAATTACTTGATCAGAAAAATTCGTTCAATTCCATCCTTCAAATTTTTGCAAAAAGCTATTGAAATCAAATTAATAACTTAATTAAATAAATAAATAGCAGAAAATATTCATTCTTTTACAAAAACTTTACTCGGTTATACAGTATATCCCAACTAAAACGCAACCCTGAAAAACGAACTATGGACAACTGAGGAAAGGAATGGATTTTGAGCACAAACTACAAGTAATGTTGAATTTGTCAGCAGACAAATTACAAGCATTGGGTCAGTTAAGCTGATTATCAAACACGTTAACCAACCTTGACATTAACCAACATGGGTTTTTGATATTTTGTTCAAATTTCGAATTTAGTTCGGCAATGAATTTCAGGTAATCTGCCTAGACAACAATTTTCAAATATTCCCGTAGAAGAAGTTAGGAGGTGACTAAGTCTGGACTTCGGGAGAACACTGAATTTTAGAAATAAGGTGATCGCAAAAATTCTTTATGGGGAAGGGCATGGTGGGAGCAGATGTGTGGACAATAGGTCTATACTTTTGAAATTAATGACATCTTTCTGAACGCGTTATATTGCGCATGAAATTGCTTTTCCATCCCATGCGCTCTTGGTGACAGATTTCCGTTTGCCATAGCACTAATTTCTTCAATTTTTGTTAGCCACGATGCTATTTCTTCGATTTTTTTGTTGCGTTTTATTTGGGGCATACTGTATGACCTATTTATTGGTGATCATGTCTATGCCACTTACCAATTGTTTTTAAATCATTTCAAGATGCATCTCTGCAATTTACGTGAAAGTAAACCGGAATTTAGGTGTATAGTTTTTTAAAAGAAAAATATTTTAATATAATAAAAAAGCATACTTTCATTGAGTTCTCAATCGAGAGAGTACAAGTTTTCTTTGAGAAAAGAACCAAATAACTAAAAGGATAAGGAGATGAACGAGATACACAATATTCTAGAATGATATTGAGCAAGCGATTAAAACTATTAAGTTAGGAAATCGCCAGATTATTCCATTATTTTTTTTCAAAACTATTCATTAAGGGTTAAGAATCGGGCAAACTCTTTAAAGAAGGTATGAGTTGATAATATTTTAAGGCATTGTAAAAGTTAGGACAGTAAAAGTTTGATTTACAAACATACTAAAGTAAGGAGTTGTATGGAAAAATATAGAGGACTTAAAGGTTAACATTCTCTAACATTTTTAAGCACTAATAAATCACTTAAGAAATAATAAAGCACTTATAAATAAGATTTGCACTTTTCTTATTTATAAGTGCTTTAGTTGTCAATTTACTTTTAAAAGTGTGAAGTTACATTTTTTTCAACAAAAAAAGAAGCATTTCGTTTAGTAAAATTATTTTAGCATACAGAAGGAAATATTATTTTTTAAAATCAAATAAAAAAAATCTATTTGGTGTACGGAGCACAGAAAAATTAACGGAACACTTGTATAACGAATCTTCGCATTCTAAGACTCAGTCTTAATTGTTGGAAATGGTGACCCAAAATATACTAATTATAATATATAATATCTATAAGTTTTTAAGCATATTCCCTAAACATACTTAATTTGTGTGAACATTTTTGTAAGTTACGAAATCAGACACAAAGACGTACTTTCTCTGAATAAACATACCTTTTTTTTCAACGGATTCAGATTTCTGACCCTCAAAATATAGAGGGTAGCCACAGTTTGAAAAATATGGTAGAAATAGTCTAGTCAGGAGAGCGGTACAAAATTTGGACCCCTTAAAGTTAGTTTAACTTTTTACGTATTTCAGCATATCTCGTAAATTTTTAAGCGAGTTGAAATTTTTTTGCAAATAACTATAAAATTCGATTATACAAAGATGTAAAAAATAACTTTTAGAAAAGATTTATTATTTATTGTTATTTTATTTATTATTGTTTTATTTAATAATGGTTGAAAAAAAATTTAATTGCAAAAGTTTGTTTGCATCTGTTCCTGAGAAATCAAATTTTAAGAAAGGGTCGTATGTTTAATAAAAAGTAAAATTTTAAGACTGCGCACATTTTTACACACCAAACTTTAACTGCAATTTCATAAGTAAATTTACCAAGAAAGAGCTAATTTAATATATAGCCATCTTTAATGACTAAATCAATCTTGTACGTTTAAGCAAATAGCATGAACTTGAAAATTTGTTTTTGAACACGCAAGAACAAGTGTTATTAAAAACATTATATGGGTTAAAAATTTATTTTTTATTTTTAATTGAAATATCTGCGGATAATACGAATAAATAAATGGTATAATTTAAGATATAACTATTAGATTAGAGGAGCACGGCACTCCAAATTCAATAACTGAATACAAAATGTATTAACGAATTAGTTTACATATTTAAAAAAAACTAGATAAGGGACTATCTGAGGAGCGAGAGCTTTGTAGAAGAAAAATGTTAGTTAATATTTAACCCATCTCTTCAACAGCTTATGCATATACGACAAATAGCAGATCTCCTCCATGGCACTGGCTCTATTTTAATCTGCAACTCGGAGTATCTGTGGTTTTGTACTCTTTGATAAAACAGCCTGCTTTCGGCTATTCTGGGATAACTAGATGTGATATAACATTTTATTTTCATGACTTTAATGCTTAAAATTATTAAGCAACCGATAGCATATTAATGGGCATACCCAATGATAACTTCGAACAATATCTAATTATGTATGAGTCGATAATCTATTATATATTTCGGAAAGCGTTGGCAACAAAAGCTGATTAACAAGTTTTCGGTCTGTACTAGTCGGAGACAAAAACCAATTTCGTAAGCCTCACAAAGAGGTGACCAGAGTTCTAATCCCAGCGATAGCTGGTCGATTTGAATTCTGCACCCGGATCGCACTGAGCACAGTGTTGATGTAAAATCTCCTCAACGGTAGACGGATCATGGGTTAGAGTCCCCCTGCCATCTGATTAACTATGAGAAGTTTTCAAGGTTTTCCTCTCCATGCAATGCAAATGTGAATTATTTCCATCAAAAATTCTTCCATGGAGGAAGGACTTTTCCCAATACATGATCCAGAAGGTTTCTTGCATTCTGGATTGGGTTCAAAATTATAAGGATACGGAGCTGTCGTAAACTCAAAAATTCTGCCGGCTGTTCAAAGACAGTTACAAAATAAAATATTATTGTTTGAGCCATGGTGGCTCAGGGAATAGAACGTTCGCCTTCCAGTGAGGTGACCCAGGTTCGAGTCATAGTGATTGCTGGTTATTACGAATTCTGCTCCCGGCACGCACCGACCGAGGTGCTGACGTAAAATATCCTCAATGGTAGACGGATTACGGGTTAGAATTTCCTTGTCGTCTGGTTAAACGTAGAAGTTTTCCTTTGTTTTTCTCTGCATGTATGGTAAATGCCAGGTTCCATCAAAAATTCCGTTACGAAGGTTGCTTAAAAGTTTGGCTCAATATTAATCACTCTTAATGCAGTTTCCTTAGGGTCAAATTTTGTTTTTCTCTGGATGTATGGTAAATGCCAGGTTCCATCAGAAAGTCCGCTACGAATGTTGCTTAAAAGTTTGGCTCAATATCAATCACTCTAAATGCAGTTTCCTTAGGGTCAAATCCTAAATCTTGCACTGTAAATTTTCTTTTAATGCAGTTTTGTGGGAGTAAAATGGTGAATTTCTAAGTTTTATATCTATTTGATATTTTCTTATAGTTATTACTTAAATTTTCCGAAGTTTCAGAAAACTTGAATATGAAATGAAAATTATAATGAATTCTTAAGATGTTCAGCTACTTCAAACCTTAAAGTGTTTCAGGTTGAAGAAATTACACGAACGAAAATAATACTGCATGAAAAAGTCTGAAAAAAGGGAAATAATTTTTACAGCGTATTTTTACATTTGCTTCGTTCTGTGCAAAAAATAAATAAATAAAAAATAAAAGAAAACTCGAATTTTTATTAATTGTTTGTATCATTATCGTCGTTCAGGACAACAATAAAATTATTTAATACGCTAATCACGATTTTAAGAAATATATTTACTTTTTGCATTAAAAGTCTTAAAGGAACAAAAAGCTAAAAAGTGTATTTTAAGTATAACATCCTCTGAAACATAATTTGAAGTCAAATTGAATGATTAAAAATGACTTTTTTTCAATTGCCCTAGCTTCAAAGCAATATTTTTACATTCACGCCCATGCCATTAAATATCATTAAATTAATGTTAGTTATTAATAACCATTGATCAAGTTATCATACAATCATTTAATTTAAAAAAAAAAATTTAAAGATTATTAATTTTTAAAACATTTTAAGGATTAAATTCGTTATAAATATCTACAGAATAATCTATTTAAAAAAAAACTTTCACAACTTTAAACACTTTTTTAAAGAAATTCAAAAGTAGGGTTAAGAGTTTGGAAGTAAAGGAAAAGTTTAAATCTTTTATCGAGAGATAACATTTTGGAAAAATGAGAAGAAGAATTTTCCGATAGAGCATAAAAGATAGCATTAAATGGATACAAAAGAAAGCATATCAATGTAAAAAATTTTTTTACCAAGGCTGTTTCAGAAATCTATTTTTTTATGCCAAAAACTTATATCAAATTAAAATGTTTCAGATCATTTTAAAAGATATATGTTTTACTCTAAAAAAA